TGTTCCCCAGGAATGACTTATGCCCATCACCCCTTATCTTACACATGTGAATGTGCTATCACCTTGCTCTCTGCAGCCGTGGAGCCGGCAGCAGAGCATTCCTTCAATACACACCTCTTGCCCCTGCTTCAGCCACACTGCTCCACTTCCCTGGTGGTTTCCCCTCATGCAAGGAGAGACCATACTTTAAACCACCTGAATCTCCCTTCCCTGTTCCCCAAAACTCTTGTACACCCTTTGCTGCCTCAGTCATGAAGGAAGGGGCCATTAGGTCTTAAATGCCTGTTTCCTTAAGTCATTGTGAGATGTGCTAAAGCAACTAGTATTTAGGTGATAACAATTCTATGCCTTTTTGCACTTTTCCTTGTGTACACCATAGCCTCTATTTCTAATTGCATTATATTGCTGAAAATACCTTGTGGTCAATGAGGATCTTTTAAATGTTCGTGCTTTCCTTTCTGTTGCATTTTACATAATACTATGATGTCAAGCGTATGGAAGCACAGCAAAATAAGAGCAAGAAACCTTTTCTGCCACTGTGGAACCATCTTCTATCTCAATGGCTGATTTATATCCTGCCTGAAGTCACTGTCAGACAGAGTCTCTCTCTTCTCTCCCACAGGCTGCTTGCAAAGTCAGAAGTCGGCTGATCATTATCTGCAGCTCTTAAGTCATGATTTCCCTCTTATTTTTCTCTGTTAAAATTCCAATTTTGTGGGGAGTCTGGGGAAACTCCCCTCACTCCTGGGCTTTTTCTTGACCTATTACCCCTGGAAAATGCTTATTTAGTCTGAAAGTTGCCAAATTAAAACCCAGCAATAGGAACGCAATAAATAAGTCAAGGGCATCTGTTTTCTTGTGAAGCCCCTTGATGATGCTGTTTCTGAAATGAGTAAAACGAAGCCTCACTGATGGTTTATATGGAAAAATGGTTTTTTTAATGTAGTTTCTTAATGTACTGTGGCTTTTTCTAGATTATAACCTGATTGCAGCTTAGGATTGTTTCATGTCTTACTACACTACTAGGTTTAAGATAGCAGAAACAGTTCAGACACATTGCCTATCTGGAGGCATCTTTGATTATTAAAGCCTGTATGGCAATAGAGGAGTTGTGTTTGGAAGCATTCTGCCTTCTCTTTCCAGCCGTTCTGCTCCTTTGGTTGCCTGAACTGTGCTCCTGAGCTATCATCCATGCTGTGTCGCGACAGAAAGCAACATTTATCTTCTATCTCATAACAGTAGCGTGAACATTCAGGATTATTTGCAGAAGTTCATAGAAGACAACAAAACAATGCTGTTTGAACGGGTGCTTGGTGTGCAGCTTGCACTACAGAGCGTGTGTCCACGGGGATGCTGCAAGTTACAGATCACCAAGGTTGCATCTGTGAGAGATGCCCATGAAAGTCCTGGGAATTTTTAGTTCTAACTGCTGGAGGTTTTCTAGCTGATTGAATTGAAGGTGGGAGACCAATAGGAAAGATGTGAAGGGAGCTATAAGCAGCTGTGGGCAGGTATAGGCTTACCTTTGGGGAAAACAAAATGGAAATGGTAGCTTCTTTGGCTTCAGTATCCCCAGTAGCACCACCTGATATTATGTGTGCTGTCGTTTGGTGATGTTAAAGCTTGGTGTGTGTTGAGCTCTGAAGCAAATGCTGTCACTCTTCAGACAACTGTAGAATGCAGCACTGGGGAGAAACGAGTCCGTTGCCTCAGCAAACTCTTGTTTCCTTACTTTTGTGTAAAGCTTGTCCACATGCCTCAGGAGGGTGTTGTGAGGATTAGCCAGATAAGATCAGCTTTCTTGTACAAATACGTGAAACCGCTTTCAGTTACCCAGTGTGATTTATGACTGGGAAGCATTTGAATGGCATCCCAGTGCCTTTCCTTCCCATGGAGCATGACATATACCAGACTTGTTCTTACAGGGGTGCAAGAGACTTGGGGTGGAGGGAAACAGTGCACTGGGGCGCTTCCAGTCCCTCCAAGAATACCTCCTGAACCAATATTCATTCATATGTCATTAGAGACAGCTTCCTATTAGATCATTAGCACTGCTTAAGGCTTGGGCATGTCCTGCAGCAGGTCATGGAGTTGTGTAGAAACGGGGATAGGGTACTGGAGTACATTTGGCTCTGCCGCTGGGCTTGTGCCTTGATAAGTATCATAGCAGAAACTTGGGCATATAAAGCTGTCCTAGCCAGGTTTCTGAAGACAACACCAGATGTTTTGTAATAGCTGTGCTATGAAGTGGATGCCCGAATGAAGAAAATGCTGCTGTAGAACTGCAGGTTTGTGCATGGGTTTCTGTCTGACTGCTGTCAGCAACAAAACCTAGCAAAGAAAGGGTTGTGTGGTGGCTGGTGTAGCAGGGCTGGGAGAAGTCTCCCTTGGCAAAGAGTGAAACAGCTTCTCAAGTGCCTTTGGGTCACTCCTAGTATATTCTTTAGCATTATTTCATGCTAATGGCGAAAATCATATAGTTGTGGTGGTATGAGGTATGGAATTGGTCTGCATGTTCCCAGCGCTTAACTCTTGTGAGACACATTCCCAAAGAAAGAGGTGCTATGTACGGACTTAATGGTGTTACCTTGCAGTTTGCAGGAAGTAGCCACTCGTGCCCTGCATCGGATATCCAAGGATTTTGTCTTGGAAATCACAAAGCAAATCATGTTTAGAGCCTCCTTTTGCTGGTGTGAGTTGTAGAAGCAAGGCAAGTGCGGAGCTGTGCATACTTGAATACAAGCATGCACCTTGCCACGGACACCAGGACAGGTTTGAATGGCTGGAAGAAGGGCTCTTCCCTAAAATCACATTTGATTATCAATTCCCCATTGTAAATCTATCCCACAATATTATCAACTTATCTGACCTTCTCCTCCTCCTCTCTCTCCCCTGCCCTCTGCCACATCCTCTCCTTCACAGCGTAGCATGACGCATCCTGCTAGAGAGCTGCAAGAGAAAGATAACTGAGATATCAGGAAAAGGTGCTTGTTGCAGTCATTAAATAACTCAGTGGATTAGTTTCCTTTAGTTCTCACCTGGCAGTTTCACAATCCTATTGTGAACCAAACTCAAGAGTGAGAGAAGAGGCCCATGAGCATCTGCTTGGTCCCATGGCTGCACAGGGGCTGGCCCAGGGCTGGCTGAAGGGATGTTCAGTCCTGCATGGGACGTCCAGCACTTCCCATAAGGCTGCCGTGCATCTTGCAAAGCCTCACGGGGCATTAGTCCCATGGAGGAGATCTGGATATGCCTGTGGGAAGGAAGAGGGCTAAAATACTCAAGGATGGAGCACTACCACGTTTCCTGGACAATAGATCACAGGGGTTTGAGGAGCTCACCGGTGCGAGGAAACACTTTGCATCGGCTCACAGATAATGTGCAATGACAGACAGCAGTGGAGGTGCTTATTTCATGTTGCACAGCTCTGCATTGAATGCTTCAAGCCCACAACAATCGTTTCTCTCACGCAGGTTGCAGACCAAGGCATCAGATGAGTAGATAATTTGCACATTTATCTTCTGCAGTTTAGTTTGCTTGGGTTTTCAAATCCTATGCAAGAGTTTCCTATTACCGTCTTGCAGAAGTGATTTGACTGGAAGCTGTTTGACTGCAGCTGACTCTTGCCAGCTTATACGGGACAGAACTGAACTTATGATGTATCTTATGCTTGTGCCGTGATTTCACAATTATTGTACCTGCTTCATAAATCTGGTAAAGTAATTTGGGGAGTAAAAGTATTAGACTAAGAATTCTCTTCTTCCTTGTTGAAAGCACAGGTTAGGACAGCTGTCTGCAGTCCTGGGACCTGGAGAATCTGAGATCTGACAGCATAGATTCAGTAAGATCTATGGAGCATGCAGAAGCATTCTGCTGATGTATCAGAAATGTGGATGATATTTCTTTGCATTAGAATTGAAAAGAAAGGTTCTTTAGGAGAAAGCTGCCTGAGCTGAATGTGGAGTAGAAAGTGTAGGAAGATATGAAAATGAGAGAAAGGAGGAATAGTTGTTTTATTTCTTGGTTTCATCTGCATCAGCATTACCACAGAAATAGTCTTCTGTGTAGTTATTATCTTACCAAATTTAAAGCAGAGACACATCAAGAAATGCATTTGATGTGTTATATAATACATAAGTTTTATATAGTTGTATCAGATGCATTTTATATAATCTAATTCTGGCTTTTCCCCCAGGCCCATGTTAATGGAGACCTTTAGAATAATAATGTAGTTGATGAGCATTACCATCGTGCTTTTGATCCTAGGAACATGTTCATCCATCAGCATCATACCTCATGCTGAAAAAAGAAAGGGAATAATACACCTGCCTCTGTTCCTGGGGCATGAAAAATCCATACTCCAGTGGAGGTGGCGAAGAAATGACACTGGCATTGAAGACCTTTTAAGATCCTCCATCTCAAAGGCCAGCCCTCTTACAGTGCCTCATCTCTTTTGTTCCTCTTTGAGGCACAAAGGAGGTAGATGAAATTTGACCTTCTTTCACCTGCTTGAGATTTTCCCTTGTGTGAAGAGATCTAAGAAACTACCAGTGAGGCTGGAATAGGTGGCTGAGATAAGCCTCTCCCCTTATATACTGGGGTTTTTTTTCCAGCGCATCTCCCTTTTTGCCTCTTTTGTTTCTGCTGAGCCGAGTGGAGAGGTGATAGAAAACCAAACCAAAACCAAATCTAAGCTCTTGGCAATAGAGAAAGATCTTCAAAGTTAAATACATTCCAAGGAAGAAATGATTGTCCACAACATGTTCCAAATACACAAGCCCATTGAGAACTTGCAGTTAACTCTGGGTATGATCTTGCTGTTGCATGGTAAGCAGTTCATGACTTCTCTACTACTGAATATTTAGAAGAAAGAAAAAGGTGGCTCTGGGCAGGAAAATCTGCAACCTTGCAAGAAAGAAGTGACTTACTCATGGTGTATAGATGTTGTCAGAAATAAATGTGATGCACAAAGAAAACACAGCATCTCTGAGTCACAAGTCCAGGAGTGTTTCTAGAGCTATAGAGTGGTCAGAGCATGCGTTTGGCTGTAGCATCTCATGTGAGTGAAATTGTTGGACCAGTGCTTTGCAGAAGCATTTTGGTGCCCAGTGGCACCAAAATAGGATGTTCAAACCTTTCCCCAAGTACAAAACATATAAAATGAAGAGCTGAATACTTTTGTTGCTCAGGTAAATAGCAGTTTTACTGGTTTAGCAGTTGGTATTTCTACCTTCTATAGTTCAGGTGAACAATAAATACAATAAATAACTTTTCTGTTCTCCTTTCTTATCAAAGAATTATGGGGGTTTTTTTAAGCTGTTTTAAATTATGTATATTGATTTCTTGATAGGTCCTCAGGATTTTAGTCAAAAATTCCTTCACATTTCCTTTGATCTTGTACTGGCATTGAGTCCTGTGCGCCAGGCTCTGTGATGGGAGGAAGAACAAAGATTGGGTTACCAAAGATTCCATAAAAATACAAAGGATTTAGATGAAACAGTTAAAATAGGCATTCTTTGGAGCTAAGCAGAGAGGTCAAAAGCAGGTCCTAAAGAACCGTTCCTTGAGCAGTGAGTGGCTTTTTGTGGTGACTAGGGTGACAGCTGTCATATAGATATAACTGAGATCATTGCAACGAGGCTGTTTCAACCTGGCAGACAGGGCAGACAGAGCTGTAGGAGAAGCTGGGTAAGGTAAGGGCAATGGGGCTGCTCGGTGTTCCAGTCCCATTCTAACAATATTTCCCCTTGCAAGTTTGAAGCTAGCTAAAAGGAGCTTGCAACACTGCATCATCAGCATCTTCTGTCTCACTGGATTACACAACAGTTCTGCTCACTGTAAGTAAAGTGTTTCGCTGCCTGAGGAAAGTCATCTGGGGATCCCAGAGTCTTCCTGAGCATCATTACAAATCTGAAGATGCTGCAGGCCACAGCAGTATTTCAGGCCTGAGCATCCCTGAAGGAATTGCAGTTTTGGTAGAATTAATGCTCCAGAAGAGAATGATCCTATGCCTGCTGGTCCCCAGCACATCTACTCTCTGGTTACATATCATTGCTGTTTAGAGTGCAAACACATTTGAGGAAAGAGAATAGAAAAGCAAATTAAATTAAGCTCCTCTCCCAGAGTTCTGTGTTTAAAGGTTCTCATGCTAAAGGGATCTGGAGAAGGGAAATGGCACAGTGGGGCAGAACCCATCTCCCTGCTTCCTCTGCCAATTTTAACAGCTTTCCATCACCTCATACATGTTGCAGCTAACATACCTGGCTCCTGCATAGAACAATTATTTACAATATATTTCAAATTAATCTAATACTCAGCTACACATATTTAAATTATTAAAAAAATCCTTTCTTTTGTAAAAGATAGACAAAGATCTATAGGAAAGTAGGAAACGTCTTACTTTACAGAGCTTTCTGTCCAGTTGAATCTGAAAGCTTAGGTTAAGCCTTTCAACTACTGCATTGGAAGAGATGTTGTGTTTCAGCATGTGTTCAGTTCCTTCCACAAAGCATGGCAGTTCGTGGCCAGGCTGTTACAGGAAGAAAAAAGGGTAAGAATGTGTTTTGTGTATTCCTAAATGTCACCATCAGTGACAGTGGCAGCATGTCACCATCAAATGTGACGTATTCTGTTCTATTCTTCCATTGAAAGCTGGTACATGAACTTTGGGAGGTTTGTAAAACCCTGAATCGTCGTGTATGCCTTAAGAAGCTTCTGTCACATCTCTCAGAAACCCTCAAATGGTAACTCTGAAGTATAGTTTCAGCCAATGCTGGGTTTCACCGTACCTTACAAAAGTGAAATTGTGTTAGATACACCTAGAGCTAAGCATCTGAGGCCTGAAATCTCTTTCAGGGTTCACTTAGTCTTTGGCATGTAACCATAAATCAAAGGCTTGCAGAGATTTTCAGAGCAAGAGGCTGCATCTTTTGATTTATGAGTGAAACCCACAAGGCTCTGTTTGGCTGGGCTTGGTTGACTGCACTGATGATGGGCAGACTTCTGCTTCCCTCCCTGCTGCTATACATCAAGCTCAGTTTTGCTGCTGCTCATGCATTAAAGGCTTCCTCATAACGAGAAGCAAAAGCTGTATAAGGAACAGCATGAGCAAAATCAACTCAGTTAATACTGAACTTCCCTAACACCTACAACAGTTTAAAATCAATACTTACCTCAGCAATGGGAAGACAGGAACATGACTGAAAATGAAAAGAGTGAGCATTAAGATCCAGCATTGGTAGCATTCAGCACACAAATACATTCTCATGGTGTTCTCCAAAGCGGTGTACTCACATTGACAGCTGTCTCCCTACAGGGGCAACTCAGAGGACTTTCCTGCTGAAAGAACAAGTGAGAAGTCAGTATTTGTTGTCACCCGCTGCATAAGCCTGCGCTTTGACAGAGGGAAGGTGCTAAACTTACAAGCAGGAGTTTTGTATGCCGGATGATTTCACGGACGCTGCAGTTCTGTGCTTGCACACAGAGCAGCAAACAAGAGAAGAGGATGTATGGCAGCATGCTGGCGTTCGTGTGCAGCTCAGTCTGGTGGGTGGCAGCAGAACAGGAGGGCACTCCTTTTAATTGAGTCTTCACAAAATTCCCATTCTAATAGGGAAAAACCCAATCATAAAATTGATACCAGGTGCCCACTGCTTTTTTCCCACTTTGCTTGGACAGCATCAAACGTGGAATTGAGTCACCTACTGCAGTGACTTTGCTTTCGTACAGCGGAAATTCACAGCTGCTCCTCATAAGTGATTAATTTGAGCATTATGATATCACACCCCAACAGGAAACAATGGTTAGAAAGCTACAAAAGCTTCTTGTTTTCAAATGTGGGGTTTGTCTCCAGTGCTCCTGTAAATTAGAGTTCCATGAAAGCAAAGAGACGGTCGTGTTCACCATTGCCAAACTTGCTGAGAAAACAAGAGGACAGGCTGGATTCCCCCTGGATTCAAAGCAGGAACTTTCTCAGGGAAGGTTGGTGATGCTGCAGGGCGTCTGTTGTGCTGTGCTGTGCAGAAGTTGTCACACTGAATTACAGCTGCTGCATCCAGACAGCGCTCCCATAATCCTTGGCTGGGATCCCACGTGCACCAATGTGCAGATAAGGATCGGGCCCTCGGAGCAAACACACACTGCGCTGTCACATTTGGAGCAGAAAGGAGTGGATGCAGTAATAGTCCCAAGTGACCAAGATGGTATTAACTTGGAAGTTCTCTCAGATGGAGTCTCCAGATCAGGTTGAATGCCTCATAGAGCTTTCTCTGGCCACAGACGTTTCCTCTTTTCCAAGTTGCACACCCTAGCACAGCAAGTGGTAACCCTTTTAGGCTCTCAGAGCTGACTTTTAAGCTTCCCTGCTTCTATGCCGTAAATAGCTCCAAAAGCTTGAGCCTTCTGCCGTTCAGTCCAGCTGGAGGATGAGTGGAATCCCTCTGGAAGCTATCCTGGAAAGAGAAGACATCGAGTTGCAATCTGCTGGGTGTTTTCCCTGGCATTTGCCTACCAGCAAGGGATTCATTTGGTGAGCACAGCCCCGCTGCCTGCCTGCACACCAAGGGGAGCGGAGCAAGATCTGTCTGCTGCTCCTCTGCCTGGCTGCTGCACACCCAGCTCCCGGCTGGGGAGGATGCCCCCTGCGCTCACTTTGAAGCTCATCCTTGGGTGATTTAATGTGGGAAGTGTGCATCCCATTAGGCAGCTGCAGCTTTCACACAGGCCCCAGGGAATACCTAGAAGCAGCCAAGGACCCTCCCTTGGCAAGTTAAAGCTGGCAGCTTTCAAAAGGCATATTGTGGGGATGGATGCCACTCCTTGAGCCAGGCAGTGGCATCTTTCAAGGCACTGGGTGATGATTAGAGAAGGGCTAAAATCATTGCTTTGTGATCGAGAGCCTGTGATTCCCAGAAAATCAATGAAGAGGCTTCCAGGATGGGTAGGTCTCCCTTGAGGAAACAGCTTTTTGCTCAAGCGAAGCAATGGGCGTGCTGCTCTCTGTTTATTCAGCCAGTAAAGCCCCTCGGCAAGAGCTGGAACAATGTAGTTCAAAGCATCCATCCCTGAAGGAAATGAATGATGTGAGTAACATTTGCACTTACAACACTTGGTTTCTCAGATGGTCAAAAACCCAATTTTAGGTGGTTTTAAAGGAAAGAATTTGCAAGCATCTTTGATTTAGCCCAAGGTTGTGCAAGGAATATGGCAACAAGCCGTGAGGAGACAGGGACAAGGAGCTCTTCATGACAGCCAGGAGGTTTTAAGCAAAATACATTCATTAGAAATCCCATTTAGTGCAGTAACTGCATGTCATTACGTTTACTGGGCAGTGAGCAGTTCAGACAACTTCCACCCAGGCCTATAGCCCGAAAGGATGAGATCCATGTATTTGTTATGAGTTGAAACTCAGAATGGCAGAGCTGCTCCCCGAGCCTGTGGTTCCTCCCCATAATCTCCGTCTGCCAGCAGCGCCAGTGTTATCTCTACATCTTTCCATATCTGTTTGACTGCATAGTGAGATCCGTCTCACTCTGTTGTTGCTCCAGGGCAAAGAGGTGACAAGAGAAGCTGTATTCCATTCACAGCAGATCAGAAGTTACCAGAAGTCAAACTGGCAGAGAAAGAACTTTCCATGTATTGGTTAGAGCAGCAGTGGATTGGGCACGGAAGAGTGTGATGCTGGTTATGGCTTCTCTTTGGAGAGTTTAGGCTCTATTCATAGAATCATAGAATAGTTAGGGTTGGAAAGGACCCTAGGGTTGGAAAGGACCATCTAGGGCATGGGCAGGGGGGTTGGAACTAGATGATCTTAAGGTCCAGCATTTAGAGACTGATCTAAAGACCATGGAAATTAATATATGCTGCCATTCCAGCAAAAATACCTGGGTTTTTTTCATGTAATCTTTAAATATTTAGGTTTGATACTTTAAAAGTCTTCATTTTGATGACCAGTGTGTTAAATGCAACATCCTCATGTTTAGGTATCTGGTCTCCCTCTGTTCCTCTCCCTTAATCTCTCTTCCAGTGACACAGGCCAACATGTAGAGGGGAAATAGAGGTTTTTCAACCATCACTCAAAAAACCAAAACAACGCTTCCTATTAGATTCAGTAGCCACATTGCCGTAGGTAAGAAGGTGACTGTGAGTGCACTTCCCTCTGAGGTTGCAAACCCACAAGCCTCAAAAGGCCGGCTGTCAAAGTGGGGAGCCACCAATGCTAAATCTGGTCTTTCTGAGGCTTTTTGTTCCCTTTTAAGAATTCTGGCTGAAAAAAATCAAACCAGAACTGAAACCTTAATAAAGGTCACCAAGCTCGAAAGCAGTGTGTGCAACAGCACGTGAGAACATCCCCTATATTGCCATTGGGAAACCTGAGTGGGGATACTCACTGTGGTCAGCCTGAGGCAGCATATCATATATCCCCGTACTTCATATCTCTTCCCTGCACACTAATGGCTATAGTAGATGATCAGAGTAAGGAAGGGGCAGAGAGCTCCATCATCCTGGGTGCTGCCAGTGCATCGCATCAGCTTAATGTGCCTGGTGACTCTTGAGTGACCAGATTGTAAGACTCCAGCCAAGAACAGGTATTTGTTGCAGGAATAGTGACAGGACAAGGGGTAGTGGCTTCAAGGTGAAATACAGTAGTTTTAGATTAGATCTTAGGCAGAAGCTCTTCCCTGTGAGGGTGCTGAGGCGCTGGCACAGGGTGCCCAGAGAAGCCATGGCTGCCCCATCCCTGGCAGTGTTCAAGGCCAGGTTGGACACAGGGGCTTGGAGCAAGCTGCTCTAGTGGAAGGGGTCCCTGCCCGTGGCAGGGGATGGAACCAGATGAGCTTTAAGGTCCTTTCTAACCCAAACAGGCTGGGATCCTATGATTTGGAAAGGATGGACACACGGAACTCTCCCAATATGTTATGATCTCTTACAAACAATTCCCTCTGGTGCCTTTGGAAATCTTCATCTAATGTCCTGTCCATTCCTGGTCGATATGTAAATACTTTAGCATATATTCTCTTTTCATGCACCTATTTTAAAGCTAGGCTGACTGACCAAATATGCTGCACAAACATCCAAATTCCAAATCACTGTTTTGACCTGATATTTGACCTCCCGGTTTTCTGAGTGCCAGAAGAGACTTTACACCCCACTGCAGCATTTCCAAGAAACTCTGAACAGTTCTGGGGCGTTTTAATATAGAAAAAAAGAAACGTTCCCTGTAAAGGAAAAACAAGATAATGTACGGGCTTGTTTTACTGATCAACATCTCACAGAGACCGCAAACAAAGAGATGCTATCAATAGTTTCATTTTCCAGAGATAAGGTGGCTTGGAGTATAGTTTTCCCTTTCTTTTAGATAAAGATGACATATGCTAGTGTAGAAATAAAGGAAAATAAGGTCATTCTAATTCCTCCACGAAAGGGTAAACCATAGCATAGTAATAGCACAACTGCCTATGACAGAAAGGTGTGTAAAATCCAGATGAGCTCAGGGAGCATGTGACAGGCTGAAGAGGGCATTGGCACCTCCTGATAGCCACACACAGATGGACCACAGGATGTCCTCAGGACTCACCTTAGCTTCTGTAGGTAATGGGGTTCCATTCCTTTCAGAAGAGTTTAAATTGGTTTTAAACCATTTGAACTGACTAACCACAACTAGTGGTGCTCAGGAGCAGTGAGATGGGGGAGCACACCTCAGAGGGACCTTCAGGGTCATCCTTGTTTCATGCTATAGTACAGTCGCCGGAGCTCTCCTGAGCTCCTGACAGGGAAGCCAAGCTTTCCATGCTGCAATGATATTTAGCAAGAGCTGAGGCATCTAAAAGCAAAAAAAGCCCTGAGAGCAACATGCCCATGCTGGGCATTGCACATATTTCAAGTGCATCTCACAACCGACAGTACCCAGAACTAAGCAGGAAAAAGCAGGAATTTTCCACAAAGATCACCAGTTCTTTTGTATGTAAAGGTTTTCCTGATGCCGTTGCTCTCAGTTCAGGATCCTCTTTCACACCAGGAAAGAGAAGCATTGCAGAGCACTCAGATCATAAATCCACTTACCCTTCCTTGCTTGTCCCACTGTGAGATGACCCTGGGTGCTGGATTTCCCTCTCAGCACAGCATGCAGAGGAAGGCAGAACATGCAGAACAGACAGACAGCACAAGGCATTCGCTCTGTGGCTGCTTTAGAGCCCTCCACCAGCCAGAGTTCCATTGCAGCTTGCTTTTCATGCTGGAAGCATTGAAAACCACTGCCGACTGCTTGATTGAAACACAGTGATCTCAATTAAATAATGAAGTAAGCACGGGTGTTGGTTCACACATAGCTGCATGAGTAAGAATAGCCTGGCCCTCTTACATAAGAGTTGGCAGGATTTCCTATACTAGATACAAAGTAGGCTACCTTAGTGCTAGAATGTTTTGAAACATGGAAGAATAGCCCATGAGCTGGTCCATGAAGATAAGCTATGTAGGTCCTATTGCTTTTACAGCAGGCATTTCTATATCTTACCATGAAACCTCATATGGGACCTCTGAGACCCCCTTAAAAAGATGTTCTCCTTCTGCTGCATATATGGCTCTTAACAGGTTGTTTGTCCCACTAGTGTCTGATCTTAGAACTACTGCAGGATCTCCAGTGTAGGAAAAATCAGTGTAACTGCTTAAATTTCCCCTCACTGCATGGCTTAATTCCTTGTGAAGCCTATCTCTAGAATGTTACTTTACGTACTACTTAATCCAGGCTGGCAGTGATCAGTCTGTACTCTATAGGAGCATATATAAGAAGAAGATGGCTTTAGGGAAAGGAAGCTGTTCTTGTGCACTTTATATTCAATTTAGCATCTTCTTCCCACTCCTCTCTTTGGATCTCATCATTTCTTCTGACTCTGCCTTTTTCTTTATGGGCACAAGACAGCGTTGGCCTTCTTGTTTTGCATGAATGCAGTGCCTAGAGACAAGTCTCTACTATAACAACCTCTACAACAAAGCGAAGAACTTCAGATAAACCAAGGAGCTGTAACGTATCTTAGTGCCTGCAAAGACATCACCTACTCCTGTGTCTCAAGTACAACGGGAAAAGAGAAAATGACATGGGAGTTGTGATCTCACCTTCCCAAGGTGCTGGCACATCAGGAAGGGACTCCTGAGGCATGAGAATATCCCAGCCTGGCCAGGAGCAATCACAGGGATGGCTTCAGCAGGCACTAAAACCACTGGGGTGCCCTGGGAGAAGGACTTAAGAACATTATAGGTACCCAGCAACAGGGATGCAGGGGGATACACAACCTTCTCCTTGCCCCCTGGCCAAAGGCAGCCCCATCCTGCTCCCACTTTGTGAGCATCACAAAGCTTCTCCCACCACCAGAGACCTTCCTCTGGGTCAGGGATTTTCACTGGAAAATTGGTTCCTGTTTGCTTTCTTCACATGAGGAAATAAACCACTGTTACCTTTACTCCCTACCATAGCATTACATAGTATATAAACTGGAAAAACAGCTAGACAGCCAGCATCTCATTAAGTAATATGAGGTGTCGTAAGAGCTGGAACACCACCAGCAGCGTGAAAGTCAGGCAGTTACAGGTTTATGTGAGGCATGACAGGTCTGAGTATGCTTTCATATTGCAGGCAAGAAGGGCATAGAAGTGGGTATCCTGGTTCTTCTGGTCTGCCTAATCAGTTTTTATCTATTCCAGGAGTCACTGCATTTAATGTTAGAAATGTGGGGCTCTGAGCATCTGTGAACAAGCCATCAAGCAGATAGATTCTCGCACTCCATTGTGCATGGTGCTGGGGAACGCACCATGAAGGGCAGGTCAATGCAGCCACTGACGGAAGATTGGGTCCGTATCCTGAATTCCATTGATACCAGGGATTTTTTGTGTAATGCAATGACAAAATCACCAGCATACGCAATCAGTGCCCTGCACAAGGGATCTGAATCAGCTGTATTTATGGCTGTTTGCCTGCCAGGCAAAGCAGTGTTTAAAACCCCATCACCAGGTCCCCAAAGAGGATTCCTTAAAACTCCTAATTTCTATCCCTAGATAATGATATTAGTATCATCGCTACAAATTAATGTATTTGATATATCGTAAAGAAAACCATTGACAAAACACCCACCTGCCAAGTCTCTGTGTGCATAAATTGTAATGCCTCATCTTCGAGGCATGGGGTGACCCCCTGCAGCATCACCCAGCCCCACCACAGGATCTCTGTCCTCAGTGACACAGCCGTACACTCACTGCTTCAAAAGCAAGAGTAAGATATGTGTCCGTGTGCTGGGATCCCCCGTGATCCATCACAGCGATGAGTACAACCATACCCCAAAAGCTGCTCATCCCAACCCTGCTGTTCCTGGCCCAGCATCAACCCAACCTCCTGCGAGGCTGCTGTCACCCTCCAATCCAGGGGGAATACACTAGGGAAGCTATTGGCAGGGCTGGATCACCCCAAAATCACCTGCGCGGTGCCCAGTGCGGGGCTGCCTATTGAGAGGGGAGCGTGTGATGCTCTGACAGCAAAAGGACCTGGCGTTGAATGAAAACAAGACAGCAGCAGCACACGGCCATGCTCTGCCATGAGCGAGGTTGCCATCATGTGGCCAAAGCTTTGTATTCACGTCCCAATCACTTTCCATGTCTTTATGTTTTCCCTCCCTATGGCAGGGCGGGCTGGAACTGGATGATCTTTAGGGCGCCTTCCAACCCAAACCATTCTATGAATCTATGACTCTAAATCCTGGGCATCCATCTCAAAACTGGTTTAACTGGATGAAGAAATCAGGAAAACTCACCATACAGCTCCAACGTGAGGCTTAGGGCTTTACATCTCGGGGAGCACTGGGCAGACCAAACCTGGGCACTGAGAGGGCAGGATCATTCACATACACACCTTGTTGCAAACCTCATCAGTTTAATGAATTCATTCTACTTTATGGTGTATATAATGTATAATGTGGGCAGATTAGCACCACCACTTACTTGCATTGAAAAACAAACCTCTCCCAAGTATTATCCTTGGAGACATATTGTGCATCTAAAGAACATGTTTTACATCCATGTGCGTTAAAACAGGTAACATGGAATAGATGAAACCTTAAATGCAGCCAGCAACAAATTCTTTTGTGAAGGTTCATTAATTTTACCCATATTGTTTGTCAGTTCATGTTGTCAAGCTCAAAGGCATCGTGCGCCTCCTTGCCTGCATGTCCTGAGATGAAGCAACACCGGCTCTTTCTCCCACATTTAAGGCCAGTTTTGGGGGAGGCCACGCTTCTGGTTTTAATTCAGGCCCCAGTAAAGAGGAGCCCAAGGTTGGGAACCCCCTTTATGAGTAATGCTCAGAAACCTGAGGTTTTAGGCACTTTCTGCTGAGGTCTTCAAGTCTTGTCACCAATTCCTCCATTCACCCAGGGAAGAGGATACAGGAGTTTCTTTTTCCTTCTCCTCCATAAAGGGGGAAACCTGGACGGCTGCTCCAGGTTGTCTTCAGAAGCTTTTCTTGATGGTGTCTGCTAAACCCATCACTGTGGGACTTTTCCCCTGGAGCTCTTCTCCAAGAGAAGACAGGGGGAACCATTCAGTGCTGTCCCTGAATGGTCCTGATGCCACATGTCCCTCTGCATGTGAGGCTGTTCTCAGCCTCTCCTGCCAATGCCACTAGAGTCCTTTTATCCCAGCAGAGATGGTTCTTCTTGGGTTTCGGCACCAGAAGCTCCATGCTTAGAAAAGAACGCATGGAGACACTGAACAGCATAAACAGAAATAGCCACAACATAAAAGACCCTAGAATAGTTGAAAAGCTGAGGTAGACCAAAGAGAGACCTGGGGCTGCCCCAGCTGTCTCAGTAGGATTGCAGCAAAGAGCTGGACGTCTGAAGCTGGCCTGTGTATTGTAGAGAACAGTTTGGGATAAGCTCTGCATCCCTCAGAGACCTCCTTTGGTGCTGCAAAGGGATGCCTGCAGGGTTTGGCAGCTGGCAGGTTGGACTGTTGTGTCAGGGAGATCAGGTCTAACAAGTCACCTCTAGCAGGTCTCTGGAGGGCTACACAAGATGAGTTAGGTAAAGCAATAGCCAGCCATTTATATGACTTGGTTTATTGTTTTCTGAAGAAAAAGAGCAGCTGAGCCTCTAATTTAACATCCTTCCTTTTCCCAATTCAATTTATACCTTAGAAAACAGAGAGGTTATTGAAGCCCTTCACATTTTTTCCCTGATAATATGTTAAATTGTGGCAAACGGGAGAGTTCTGTGTCCATTCGTATGGGTAGAGTCATCCATTCTTTTGATCCTGAAAGCAAGCCAGGATTTGGTGGGAATCCAGCCCTTCCTGGACCAAAGGGCCCTGCACACCCACCTCACCTCCCCCTTTCCTTGCTCACAAAGAGGAGCATTATATACAATGTCATACAAACGATGCTCCGTGGCTGATGTTGGTGGGTTGGTTTGGGTGTATCTCACTTGTGGGTAAGGGAAGCAAGTTGTTCTCTTGGCTCAATAGGAAAATGTCACTGGTGATAAAGCCCAACACCACCATGGGGATAATGAAGGTGCTCTGAGACAAAAGAGGGAAAGATGTGATAAGAAAACAGTCTTTGGATTTGATGGAGCTGGTGCAGTTTTCAGTGTCCTCCAGGGACTAAGTCCATGGCAGAAGAGAAAGCAGATGCTGTCGGTGCAGGATGAGAGTCTTCGGTCAGAGCAGCTGATCCCTCTCCAACACCACACTGCTGGTTTGGCTCAGGACAGTAGGAGGCTTCCAGGTGTTCCCAGCAACACTTTTGGAATAAGAAAGAAGGAGGTTTATGAAGTACTGCAGGAAAGAGCAAAGACTGCCGAGAATGAGTATTAAACTGCTAAAAAGGGTCTTTAATTGGATATTTTTAATGCTGCTCCTTTACGCAACCCTAGGTTTATGAGAGAAAGAGTAAAACTGTGAGTTGGTGGTCAAGACACTTCAAAAGGGCTTAATTTCAGGTCTTTATGGGAGGATCAAGGGAGGAATTGATACCGTGCAGGGACTTAGGTGAGAATCATATTTCACAACTTATAAAACATTAGAGAATATTTTCCTTTCAAATTCTCTTTTGTGATTTAGACCGATGAAAACAATCACAAGAATCAGTGAAATTCCAGCAGTCTGGAATAAAACCTAAATCCATTGTCTGCTCCACATCCCACAGACCCAGGTTTGAAAAGCAACTGTTCAGATGTAGGTTACCTGTCTTCCAGAGGATCTATACAATTGCAAGTCCATTTGATTCAAAGATGAATTCTCTAATCAAGCTAAAGGGTCTTTATGTGCTGACCTGGAAGTTAAGGATTGGTCTCAGTTTGGTCTCTTTTCATTGCTTTGAGAGAAAGTTCATAGCCAAGAAACATGGCTGAACACATTGGGAATCCTCGCACTGCATTGACCGTGATGCCCCTAAAAAAGACCTGTTGGGGATGGAAAAAGGTTAGAGCATAGGAATATATGGGGTCTTTTAAGAAGAAGAAAACAGTGAATGAAGTCATAGTGGGATTCTGAAGAACCAGAATCCACTCTTGCTGCTGGTCGTTGCTGAAGTCTGTGCTGGAGAATGGAAAAGTAATGGCAAAAGTCACTGGTATCACTGAGCTCTGTGCTCCCATCTGTATCTGCCCAGAGGAGGTACAAGAAGTAAAGGGTAAAAAACATCCTTGTGTAGAGCAGAAAGCAAGAAACCCAAAATGTGTTCCAGTGTTGTCCTACCTAGCTACAGCCCCTTCTTCCCTTGGCACAGATGAGTCCATTGGGATCATCCAAACCCTGCGGTACAAGGAGGCTGTTGGTTTCATGCAGCAAATGCTGTTTCCCAGGGCTGGGTCTGCGGTTGCAGAGGAAAACCAGATTTACTTTGTACCGTGCTCAGAACCGCCTCTCACCACCAGCTTTGGGGAAAATACTTGATAAAAGCTGGTATTTTCACATAAGGGTTCCTAAAAGCCAAGCTTTGGCGCCAGCATTTTCTTTCATTAAGATAACAAATACCTGCAGCCAGTCTTCCTCATTCTGCTCATATACCGGTTTTGAAAAGATGCTGGCACTTACAAGAGTGAAAGACCCTGTGGCTTTTGGGTGCTTGAACAGCAAAGTGCTTTGTGGAGAGCGGAGAGGGGCCCTTGTTGCTCCTGTTTACAAGACAAGGGTTGCAGGGGGCATCTCTGCTGGCCTGTTTCTCACAGAACCCCTGCTTTAACCACCCAGGCGCATCGCTGCGGTCACTAACCTAAACACCACGTCTTCAAAATGGACTTGAAAAGTCACATCGGCCAAGCCAGCCCCCTTCCAGGCTTTACAAAGGCAAAGCTCCCGTGGCTGCTGTACGGAAGCATGGAATAGCTCAGCTCCAAGAACAAAAGCCCATAGATTAAAGTGTCTCATGAGCATTTCCCTTGAAATACTGAGCTCTGCTAAACACCACCGTATCTTGTATCCAGTAAATCCAGTGCATGGTGCTGCCTTGCACAAGGCAGAATTCAAGTACGTTCGCATAGCTTAGGGTGGAGTTTGCTAACATGAAATTGCAATATTGGGATATTTAGGATATTATTGATTCATTGGGGTGGTTTATTTTGTTAAGAAAATAGAATTGTCTGGGAGGAAATTCCATTTTCTTGTGCAGTATCCAAGCAGTAACAAAAGAGCCAAGTTAAATGAGGATTTATGAAGGAAAGCCCAGAGTCATAAGCTTTTCCCATCAGAATGAACACACCTGACTATGCAGAAAGAAGAGAACTGTGCTGACTTGGTTGTGTGTATACAGGCAATTACTTCCAGCACTGTGAATGCTGTTCCTTTGTCCCCAGATGAAAACATCCAAACCTGAGTTTGCCATTTGCCAGTTGTGTGTCTCCTTACAAGAGAAGGATCCAGTCTTATCACCAACTGCTATGCAGGCCTGTTGCCAGCTTTAGTCTGCGTGCCAGGCATGACAGCAACAAAACTGCAACCAGCGTGGACCTCCAACAAAAACAACTGAGTGTGCCTGACTGACTTGTTAATATTCAGGCAGGACAAGGCAGGTAGGGGATGACGATGGAAAGAGAAGGGAAAACACAGGGAAATTCCCTTTTCAAACACGCTCTGTTTTACTGTGAAGCCACATGCCAAAGTGAACACACAGGGCAGGCAGCCTGCAGAGAGCCTGACCCTCCAAGCACAGTCTTTAGCATCTCTCCAGGTACTTGTACTTCATAGCAAAGTGGCTTTCTTCATTTACCAGCAAAACCCAAACCAGACTGCAGGCCCAGTGTCAGCTGGCATAACATCGTGGCATGTTGGCAGATACTGAAATCACAGCGGCTTGTGATTTTGGAGCTTAGTTTTCTTTCTGTAACTTGTTACTTTGCCCTCTGAATGTGAAAATTAGCGCTTTGGAGCCAAGAGCCCACGTGATGTTTTGGTGGCAGCTTAAGTAGAGATTTATTTCAATATCAGGAGACATCACTTCTCGTAACCATGCACTGGCAACGCAATAAAGCTGCAGACCCTGGTTCTTTGCCATCCACCTTTAGCTGAGGCAAAGCTTGCAGGCAGAACGAACACCTTTTATTACACTAAGAGACAAAGTCAGAAGGACATGAGCTTGGTTTTGGCACACAGCCCTTCTTCACGTTGGAAACCAAAGCAATTCTGATTTAAGAGCATTTTCAACCAGCTCCATCTTGGTGCAAAATGAGGGCAGGCATTGCAAAAGGCAGCATCAGCTCCACCAAAGCATTACCCAGGGCAGCCAAACACACCCAGGGTGCCACTGGAATGATTGCCCGTTGATTCCAGTGTCAATGGGAAACATTTGACCTCTGCGTTTTATAAAAGCAATCACAGAGGTGAGATTTTCAATCTCTGATTTATACTAAGTCAAATCATACTCACATTTAAATGCACTGACATGAAGTGTTATTGTAAGTTAATTACACCAGCAGACTGTGACCCCCAGTCATTCATTTTTCCATTGCTGTAAGGCACATTATTACTCTATTGGGATATAAAAGAATCTCCACTATAATTACCTACTGTCATTATTATAATCACAGTAATGGGCTTTAGCTGCCTCTCAACCCTGCAGAGAGGTTTGAAACATCCATTGTACTTTCCAATTAAAATTAAATGCCTAATACCCAGGCTTCACTTCAAATATCACTTACTTTTAAGCCCTCGTTCTGGTAGCTCTGCAAGATGCAGTCAAGGGTCCCTTTGTACTTGCTCAAATAAACTCCATCAGCCTGAAGCCGACTTTTCACAACGTCCATTGGAGTAGCAGTCCCCCAGGAAATGGCTCCTAGAAAAATGCAGAAGTATTTGAACAGTTCCTTCTCTCTATTTCCTTGGTTACAGTCAGTGAACTCCGACCTTCACCTCTCCTCTACCCCATTGTATTCATGGGGTTTTCACTGCAGGGCATTCAGCCTGCTCAGGTGCAGGTATTTCTAGGAGCAAAGCTCCCTGTTTCTGGATGGAGCACTGAGGTTTTGGGGGTGATGCTGATAATCCAATGCAGGCAGTCCAAGGGTGTCCTCCATGATGCAAATCTTCTGCTGTGCTTTTGGTAGAGCGTAGACATGTTGTGGGAAAAGCTCAAGCTGCACAAAACCTGGAATCCTCAGAGAATACTGTTGAAAACCAAGGTTTGAGCTGAGAAAACAAGAGAGCTCCATCACATGTAGGCAGGATTACACCCAACACAGCTGAGCTACCTCATCATTCTTATAAGGGAACAGGCCATTTACATTAATTAGCCTGCAGCTGAGTGGGATTTTTTGCCTGACAAGGTCAGCAAGCAGCCCCAATGCATGGCTGTTGGACAGACAAGAGTTTGTATGGACCAGTATGAGTGTTGGGGTATGATGGAGTACTGCCCAGATGGGCCAGGGCTCTGTTTAGTTGCAGGAGAAACAGAGATGGCATTTTGTGCTCATTACCTGAGCTAAAGATTGACTTTCCTTTAGGGGTCTGTGATTAGAAATAGCCAGGAAACGGGGAGTGGGTGCAGGGGTGGCTTTATACATGGGAGTGCGATGAGAGATGTACGTCAGTCCTACTGCGGGTGTACACAGGGAAGAATAAGAAGATTAATAACAGCCAGCTCTGCTTCTGCTGCCTGTGGGTAGGGTGTACACCCTCCTGGTGGGGAGCCAACAGGTTGAAGTCCTCTTCTGGAGGCATCTTGGCTGCCTGGGGATCACTGGCAGTGCGATGTGCAGGCTGCCGTGGGACATCCAGGGAGATGAAGGTGCTGGCTGTGCTCCTTCTTGCTGACATTGAACCTGATGAAAGTCTGATAACACAACTTCCATAAGGCTTGCCAAGTCATAAGGAGCAGCTGTGGTGCCAGGAGATCTGGCCCTAGGGGAAGGAGCTTGCTCATCCCCATGTCCTCTCCTGGTGACCCTATAATCTCCCCTTGGAACCTTCCCATCCTTGTTTCGCCAGTGTTGAGGGAAACAAAGGTGCTTACCTGCTACTCCCCCTGCCAGCCAGATGGAGGAGGGATTAGGGGAAATGCATCCATCAGGAGTAATCCAGCCACAGAAGATTGTGTAAGGGATGAAATAGAGGCAGTACCCAGGAACATCCCTCAAAAGCATTGCTCCTGCGCCTCGGTATATTCCTGCTATCCCCTCTTTCTGTAGGACTGTCTTGATGCAGTGAATTGGACCTCGATACACAGGAAATCCAGGAACTGTGGGCTTTAGTTTCATGTTTGCTGCAAAACAAAGAGATACAAATATTATAATAAATATATTGCTACAGAACTGCTCTCAAAAGCCCACCATCATTGATGAGAAATCACTGCCATCCATTTCTTTCCCCTGGATCATTACATAGTGGGTGGGGAAAAGGTTTAAGAAAGGGAATGCAGAAGGAAGCATTTTTAGCTCGAGTCATAGAATCATAGAATGGTTTGGGTTGAAGGCATTACAGATCACTCATTCCAATCCCCTGCCACGGACAAGGACACCTTCCACTAGAGCAGGTTGCTCCAAGCCCCTTCCAACCTGGCCTTGAACACTGCCAGGGATGGGGCAGCCACAGCTTCTCTAGGCTTCCTAATAACCTAATCTAAATCTTCACTTTCAGCTTAAAGCCACCCCTCCTTGTCCTGTCACTACATATCCTTATAAAGAGCCCCTTTCCAGATTTCTTATAGCCCCTTTAGGCACTGGAGCTGCTCTAAGGTTTCCCAGAGCCTTCTCTTCTCCAGGCTGAACCAGCCCAGCTCTCTCAGCCTGTCTTCAGAGGTGTTCCAGCTCTCTGATCATCTTCATGGCCCTCCATTGCAGTGGCACGAGGCAGCAGGGAGCCAGGCCTTGAAGCAAAGCTGTCCTAAAGCTCCCAGTGAACACCAAGGACTGGCAGAGAAAGGAAGAAGATGCTCTTTCTCCCTACCTTGGATGTACGGCTGCGTTTGCATCTGGAGCCTTATCTTTACCAGGTCCACAGGAGTGCCGATACCCACGGAGATGAACCCAGCCACCATGCTGGCCAGAGCCACGTCGCCGAGCACCGGTGTGCTATCCGGGTCTCCATGCCGGAGCTGGCTGAGGAGCCGCTGCGTGTTGCTGAAGACACCGAACACCACGGAGCTGTAGACAGCCATGGTGGCCAGAGGGAAGGACATGCCTTTGAAGAAGCCAACCACCTACCCAGGGAAGGGAGCCGGAGTTAGGAGGGTGAATGGGACTGAGCAGCGCAAACCCAGCTTGTCTGTGAGGGTAGAGATGCAAATCCAAGCAGCAGATGTCTCCTGAACCAATCGTCTGCACAGGGAAATGAACTGATACTGCTAAAGGCTTGTCAGGATTGTGCAGGGTACAGGATATGCTGGAAGCACAGGGACCCATGTGAAAGTCCCTGTTATGGACAGCTTCTGTCCTAGCATCACCAGACTCAGCAAAATACCTCCAGTAGAGCTTTCCCAGCAGGCACATGCAAAAGAGCCACTGTGGATGTAACACCCTGACCCATGTGAGGACATTTATCCCTCCATGCCAGGGATCTGTCTTTTCCCTGTAGAAGTACCCAGGAGCATTGCCTAGAGTTAAGCAAGAGAAGAATGTAGGGATTTACAGGCTTAACTGCATTGACTCGATTGATCTTCATATAACTGCTGGTGTCAACAGTGGTTTTGTATAATTGCATTATGTGTTTAGCAATTGATCCATTGATCTATTTGCATTTTCAGTAAGATAAAGTACTTACAGACTCATTTCTGTACACAGTGAGAACACAACTGAGTGTATTTCCATAGCCTTGCCCAGCTTGCAAACGAGTCTGCAAAAGACATCCATAAAATGTGATTAAAATCCCATGCTTCCAGCCCAGGGAAACTCATGCTACACAAACAATGTGATTTTTACTTTGAGAGCAAATCATAGAATCACAGAATAGTTAAGGTTGGAAAGGACCTTAAGATCATCCAGTTCCAACCCCCTGCCATGGGCAGGGACACCTCACACTAAACCATCTCACCCAAGGCTTCATCCAACCTGGTCTTGAACACTGCCAGGGATGGAGCATTCACAACCTCCCTGGGCAACCCATTCCAGTGCCTCACCACCCTCACAGGAAAGAATTTCCTCCTTATATCCAATCTAAACTTCCCCTGTTTCAGTTTTAACCCGTTACCCCTTGTCCTGTCACTACAGTCCCTAATGAAGAGTCCCTCCCCAGCATCCCTATAGGCCCCCTTCAGATACTGGAAGCTGCTCTGAGGTCTCCACGCAGCCTTCTCTTCTCCAGGCTGAACAGCCCCAACTTTCTCAGCCTGTCTTCATACAGGAGGTGCTCCAGCCCCTGATCCTCCTCGTGGCCTCCTCTGGACTTGTTCCAACAGTTCCATGTCCTTTTTATGTTGAGGACACCAGAACTGCACACAATGCTGCAGGTGAGGTCTCACAAGAGCAGAGCAGAGGGGCAGGATCACCTCCTTCGACACGCTGGTCATGCTGCTTTGGATGGAGCCCAGGATACGGTTGCTTTTTGGGCTGCAAGCACACACTGAAGCCGGCTCATGTTCATTTTCTCATCAACCAACACCCCCAAGTCCTTCTCCGCAGGGCTGCTCTGAATCTCTTCTCTGCCCAACCTGTAGCTGTGCCTGGGATTGCTCCCACCCAGGTGTAGGACCTTGCACTTAGTTGTAAAGAAAACAGAGTGATAAAACAAGATAGATGTGCATCCACAGGGCTCAACAGGACCGCAGAGGTCCGAAGCATTCTGCAACATCTGGAATCGGTGACTGTCAAATTGCTCTCCAGTACAGACCAGCTACCTTGGCCCAGGACAGCAGACTGGTGTGCGGTGCTCTCCTTGGCAGAGTCCTGATCTATGTGGAAATTGAAGAGTGATGTGGTCCTCTCCATCTGGGGACTGTTAGTGGAGGCTGGGATGTATTCTTAAGGCATCCATCTAAAGGTGTTCTAAAGGAGAGGCGTGCTCCCCTGGCAGGCTTTCAGGGTCCTTCTGATCTAAGGTAGATCTTAAGACATACATATACTAAATGGAGCTGAAACAATTCAGCTCTGTCTCAGGAATTGTCCATGCTTCACTTAAAAATACATTTTTACATCATTTAACACAAATGTTCCTGGAAAGCAATGGTTATACACCTTCCAAACAATGTCTACAGCAGCTGGGTGAAATGGTGCAGAAGTCACGACAAAGCCTGTATGGTTCCACGTGCTTTCCCCTTCTCACATATAGCATATAATCATCACAGAGTGGTTTGGCTTGGAAGGGACCTTAGAGATCATTCCGCTCCAACCCCTGCCACGGGCAGGGACACCTTCCACTAGAGCAGCTTGCTCCAAGCCCCTGTGTCCAACCTGGCCTTGAGCACTGGGATTCTATGACCAGCACCATCACCCTGCAAGCGCCTGCCCAGTGGGGTGCTGCGGTGGGACCACGCTAACAGGGTCACCTCTCGCTGTTCTATGCTGCTGTCTGAACAGGCTGAGGACTGCTGCTCTGCTCCAGGCTTAGCCACAGGCCATGGGGAAGGCAGCAGCAAAAGCAGAGCATTTACCGAGCCCTCACAAACAAGCTGGTGCTCATGCAGCGCACAGTGCACAACCCCAGCAGGCCCGGGCCATGGGGGCAGACCAGTGCCATGAATCACACCAGGGGTGATGGAGATAGGGGAGAACCACTGGGGAGGCTGCCTGCACCCTGAGCAGGACAGGACAGGGCAGCCACAGTGCACAGCCCTGCCTTCCCTCTTGGCTTCATCTGGATGCTTAGCCCAGACATTTCCATTCTGCCTCCATGGGCTTGTTGTTTTTTCTTTTACACAGTAACCAGGTATTTAGAGGTTCAGGTTAATGCATTTTTTGAGTAACTGAGGGAAACGGAGTGTCCTCACAAACTGCTCCTCGCACACATGCCCCCCCGCAAAGCTGTTAACACCTGGCACTGAAACCCCTGCTGGCATCTCCCTCAAAGTCAATTGATACCAGCATGGATATTCCAAAGGAAAATCCTCCTTTTTGGTGTGTTTTGATTAGAAAGGGCTCCGGGGTGGTGCCCAGAAACTGCAGAAGGTTCCTGGGGAAATGAATGCAATGTGGAGGATGAAAAGTGAGTACATGTAAAACTATTCAGTGTGGCAAGGCTGTGGGAAAAACCAGCTGCTTGGATTTGATGGAGGCTGCGATATGGGGAAGGGGCCAGCTGAAGGAGGAGACCTGCTGGGTGGGAACCCTGGTGCGGGTACCCCATACCCCATCCCACTGCCTCCTCTTCCAGGTGGGGAAGGACACCCCCCCCCCCATCCCCTGGATGCTGCAAATGCCGTTGAGCTGCCCCATTGCTGGCTTAGTGCTGTGTAAAACACTCTCCTTTCCACCTCCCTTCCCCTAAATTTGGAAAGGCAACAAGTCTGCCTGCTTGGTATTCCCAAGCAACAGAGGTGTCAGCCTGGCACTTGTCTTTATAAGCGCTGAAGGATGGGCTCGTTCTTTCTTGGCATCCAGAAACTCGGTGCTTCCCAGCAGGATCCTCTCTCAGTAGCTGCCAAACTCCCCCAAGCCTGGCAATGATGCCCTGACCTCCAGCCTGAGGTGGGATTGCCTTGGCAACCCCCAGCAGAGCCAGCCTGTGCTGCCCATGCCCATTGCTGGGGTGGCACAGGCAGCCTCATGGCTCCGCTGTGTGGGGTCTGCATCCATCCTCACATGGCAGTGCTCCTGGGACTGATACCCCCTTAGCAGCTTAGGAAGGATAGGGATGGCAACCATCTCCTGATCCCAGGGTGCGTGCAACAGGGCAGCTGTGATGGCTTGGGAAGGGATTTGGCGTAGCTCTGCACTGGTCCACCCTCCCCATCGCCCTCCAAGGGTCTCTAAGGTGCAAACGGGAGCACTGGCCCTTGGGTTTGCCACCTCTGACAGCCCTGACTGAGGCCAGCAACAAGGCTGGAGCCAGATCAGAGCCCACGGGCAGAGCAGTGGAAGGAACAAAAGGACTCAGAGCTGTCTATCACACTGTACAGAAAGAGAAAGGAATGGGTTCTTCCTCTGTCTCTGCATCAGTGGGGTAAATCAGCTTGGTTGGGTCAGGCTGTACTGTCTGCATCATGCTAGCAAATATCTTTTTACGTGTCTAAATCATTCCCTCTGTGAACAGTTGTCTTGCAGGAATAGTAAATACCATGTCTCATAGCACTGGGATAACAGCTTCAGCACTCTGCCCTCCCAGCATTGCCAGCACTAGGAGAACACGTAAAAATGTGCCTGCAGCAAAACAAATATAGTTCCCCCATTGCCCTTTGAATACTTGTCTGTAGCAAAGTCCAATAAAACATTGTCCAAATTGTTTGTTAAACCACACATAAGGCAAAGCCAGGTTGAATTTTCAGCATTCATCCTCGCACGTATCAGCCAGTTCTTTCAGTTTCTCACTCAAAACAAGCATTGAAGAGGAAAAAAGTCTATTAAAGCATTTCTACCCAGGCTAATTCCCCTTTGGGGTGATGGGGTAAGTGAAGGTGTGAAGCATCGTCTCGAGAGAGGCTCCCTGTCAGTGGGGGGTTGTGTGGTGACAGGAGAACATGGTTCAAAGCGATTTACCTTGATGGTGTCCAGGGGGTGACCAACAACAACGCTGGCAGCTCCTGGGGATGGAAATAAAGCGTTATACAAAACACTGAGGATGCTTTTGTGATGGGATGGGAAGCGATGGGTTTATAGGGGAGAAGGAGAGATTTCCATAGGAAATATTCCTTTTTCTCCTGGACGTTGTAACCTTGAGGCTGCCTGCGGTCCAGTGCTGTGATGTAAACTGCTGGCTGCTCAGCCCCTGGACGTCCTGTCCCAGTCCCGGGGTGTGCAGCAATAGCATGGGGTCAGCAGGGCCGGGGGAGTGACTGCACTGCCTCCACGCGCTGCAGTGATCCAAAAACCAAGCTGCTCACCTAACTTTTTGGCCGAGGCCCTGTGCTTTTAGAGTCAGCTAACCTATTGGCCTGGTCAGGATCCATGGGCCATCTCACACCCCCTTCCTGAGCCTGGTGTGAGCAGCAGCCTCAGCAGAGCTCTGGTCTGCGATGGGCGGTGTGTGATAGAACCTCTGTCCTGCTGCTTCTGCAGTGCATCCGTGGCAACTTAGCTGTGCACCTTATCAGCTATTAAACCCAGTGGGAACCCTCAGTACTGATGCCTCTACACATCCTCACGCTTCCTTCTCTTTCTGGTGTCTGTTTTCCCGGTAGTGGCACTCAGCATTGCCAGCAGACAGGATCAATATCCCTCCCTGGCCATCAGCCTGTTTGCCGAAGCAAGACCGTGGGGTCAAAGCCCTGCAGTACCTTTTCAGGGTAGGGGACTGGGGGACCCAACTTTGCCACTGCGTGCCCCGGAGCTCCCCTTCGGTGCTTCCAGCGGGGAGAGCCGGCAGTGTGCAGTCACAGCCGCATCGCATGTACCGGTACTTCAGTTTTAAGTATCCCGTCCGCGGATATCGCATTAAACTGCACTTGCGAGGCAAAGCAAAGCAAAGCAAAGCAAAGCAAAGCGCGCATCCGCTGGTGCGAGCGCGCCGGCCCGATGCACAGCTCCTGGGTACCACCGGGGTTTACGCTCCCGTTCCCCCTCGCTGCCGTCCTCCCCCCGGGCCCACCGCATCACTTACCGCCCACCCAGCCCGCCGCGAAGTCCTGCAGCTGCACGCTGTCCATGCTGCGCTCCGAGCCCGCCCCGACGGGCGGCGGGTCCCAATCGCCCGGGGGTCCCCACCGAAGAGCGGTCCGCACCGGGCAGGCGGTGACAGTGGACGGGGTCCCGTGTCCCGTTCCCCCCCCCCCCCCCGCCCCTCTCCGGCCCCGAGCCGTGGATCGCACCGAGCCGGCGGTCCCCGTCGGGCACGGGGTGACAGCGGACGGGGCGGTCGCACGGCACCGGGGTCCCCGCAGCAGCCCCGCCGGCCGCCGCACGGTGTCTCACGGCCGCCGTGACATCACGCACCGGGGCTTAAAGGCGCCGCACAGGGGCCGGCGGTGGGAGAGACCCGGAGGGACGGGACTGGGACAGGGGGGGCCCGGTCGGGCGTAGGGAGGGACTGGGGTTTATTATGGGGATGAGGGGGGAGGTGAGCGGGGTCAGAGCAGGGTCCTCTGCACGCTGGGGCTGGTCCCATCGAGGAGCAGGAAGAGCAGCATCCTCCAGGCAACAGCGATGGGGGTTCGGGATGAAGGTGAAGAAAAACAAGGGGGGGGGGGGGGGGGGGGGGGGGTAAGCATGCTATAAACTCCTAAATTAAAGATGGCAGCCCAGAGATAAAGAACACAACTTACACAGCCTTATTCAACTGAAAAAAAACATCCCCATTTGCTTCATTGGGATCACACTGCCTCGTCTTTTCAGGAGATACCTCCAGTTTCTGTATTATCTTTTCAGGAGATACCTCCAGTTTCTGTATTATCTTTTCAGGAGATACCTCCAGTTTCTGTATTATCTTTTCAGGAGATACCTCCAGTTTCTGTATTATCTTTTCAGGAGATACCTCCAGTTTCTGTACTTCGGCCAGTGATGAACAATTGCTCCCTACCCCATTCGTTCTGCAAAGCATTCACAGTTTTCTTACAGCTCTATTACCCATTTCTCCCTCACTCCCATCTTTCCCAGAGTCAAAGCCCAGCTCTGTTTAGTTCACCTTTCATACAAGAGGCTCCTTTTCATCCTCAGTCCTATTTTAATAAACCTTTGAACAGGGCAGCCAGAACCACAACTGATGGGGAGGAACAGGCGCTGAGCAGCTTAAAGACATTCTCTGTCTTGATCTCAACCCCTTTTCCAGCAATTCTTGACATGCCTTTCTGACTGATGCTGAAGACTGGGCTTGAATGGTAGATACCGGATGTTGAGCCCAGCCTGGCTGTCATGCCCCTGTGTGGCACTTCCCATTAGTAAGAGTCTTACACCTGAGTAGCCACCAGCCACTCAACAGCAGGACATCCCTCTGGTCCCTAACCGTGTTCCCAATATCCTTGTGCTCACCAGCTCCATCAGAAAAGTCCTTTTGGACGTCAGGCGCATGCCTTTGCTCTGCAAAACATGCGATTGCCCTTTGCCACTGCACAGATACCTCTGTCACACCAGGCTGTGATTTACTATAGCCCAAGGCAAGTTTTGTTCTATGGAGGTCAGATTTCAGCAGACAGCAGTTCCTTTGAGGCTTTCTAAAATGATTGGCATCTGGTTTGCCCAGTTGCCTTTCTGGAATACCAGATTGGGGTTTGTGGGATGTTTTTTGTCTATATATTGGGCTATGGAAAACGTTGATAGTTCATAAACAAAGAATCCTGAATGCCAAAATACTGCCTGGAAATAGAAATGTTTCAGTTTTACTTAAATAATTGACACTTGAATTTCCATTCATAAATGAATATATTCCACAAAAAGACCTTAAAACAACGTCCCTTTATGTGCCTGCACGTACACCCAAGAAACCTTAGCACTGAGCTGGCTGAAGGGAGCTTTTGTCTAGACATTGCTTATAGCAATTTGATATTAGGTGCCTGGTTACCAGCTCAGATCATCTACACCTGAAACTTGAGATCCTTCAATGTACAGAACAATGCACTTTCTCCATGAGGAGGGGTTTCCTCCAACCCCAGGTCTCCAGTGGCACAGAGCAGGTTGCAGGGAGACTGTGGATAAATACTGGGGACAATGTGTGTGCACAAGCCCTGTGGAAACTTGTCAGTTATATGTACAGTAGTGCAGAAAGGGGATAGTGTCCTCATTTGTCATGCATATTTTCTTGCAAAGCCAAAAGGAAAGCTGGCTGAATGAGGTAATTTTCCAGATAGCAGCATTAAACATTAATCCTTTTTAACTGTAACACATTCCCACTCCAAAATCAGAACATCTGCTAACTCAGGGAGAATAACGGAGATGGTCTTCGTGCGATGCTGCACCAAGAGTTGAAGCCAAATGTTATGGAGACTTTATAGGAAACAACTTCTAGCCTAGAAGAGGAAGGCAGGGAAGTTGGGATGGACACAGAGATGCCCTTGTAGATGTACCTGTGGCCATGTTCACCCCAGCAGCATGCAGGATACTTACAGCTCTTGCCATCGGCTGCAGTTAGCAGTGCCCATGGACCTACAGATTAGTCCATAAGCAGGCAGAGACCTGTGCACATGCTCAGAGTGGTTAACTGAAAGAGGTGAGATTTAGATTAGATGTGTAGAAGTTCTTCCCTGTGGAAGAACCTCTGTATGGAGAGCTGGGAAGGGATCCATCCTTCCTGCTGCTCTGGATTCCAACCTGGGCTTGTAGCCACTCACAACTGCTAGTCAGAGGGAGATTAGTGTGGTTTCTATTAGGGATGAAGAATCCTCTTTCTCCTGCCAAGAGAGGGAATAGGGAGATTGCCTCATCCTGAACACTCTTGTTCTGCCTCTTCCCCCACCACAAACCCATTGTTTATCGCTGTACCACACTCTTTTGACCAGCTTATATTCCTTCCACAGGAGATTCATGATGCTACTGGTGAAAGTGAGGACATTCCCCCCCCCCATCTTACCAGAAGATGTGTATTTACTCCATGTGAGCTCTGCAGTGCAGTGACTGGGGCAGACTCAGTAACTCGTGGTAGATTCACATGTAACCACACTGAGAGACACAACTCAGCAGGGACAGAATATGTTAGAGATGGAAGGGGTTGATGCATTTCTTCTCCAGCTGCAAAGGATTTCTGGACTAGGATGCATTTCACTGGAAGTACAGCTGATCCAGGGATAAATTCCCTTTACATATTAACCTGTTAATAACATATAATACAGGATACAAGAAAACAACTGCAGTGATCTGCTGCAGCCGGTCACTGGCCATCAGGGTCTAATGCTTGGTCAAATGCTTTGGGAGCTGAGTCCCATGAGCAGAGGCCAGTAAAGTACACAGATACCCTGGAGAAATGTATGAGCAGTGATAAGAGGACAACTTCATGGGCTCCAGCTCATCCAGGCAGCAGGAAGAGATGTCAGGGGCCACATAGCAGAAATAGTTATCCCCTCCAGGAGCTACCGAACAGGCTCCTTTATGTGGGCAGCAAAACGTGAGTGCTTGCTCAGCAGGAATGTGCATGGAAGATGGATTAGGGACTGTGAAAACACCAGAAACAGGCACGGAGGCCCCCATTAATGGCTGCAAAGTTCTTCTCTGCCTTCACTGCCCCAGGACCCGAGTGGGTTTTCTGGAGGAACAGTGTCCCGGGAAGAATTAGCCAGTGAAGGGAATCCTCTGGTCTTTTCATAACCCATTTGCTTGTGCTTCTATATAGGGAATCCCTCTGACAAGTCCCATGAGAGCATGACATCTCCAGTCCTGCAGGCAAGACACTGTGGGTGCAGTTGCATAGTGCTGGAGCAGATCTCCTGGGACAGGCTGCCCTCAGCATACAGGGAGCAAAGTGTTTTCCCAGTTACATCCAACATAACACCTCAGACCACATCCTGGCTGAGCACCACCCATCAGTCAAGTGTTCCACAGGCAGCCTCCTAACACCATCCAACACCTTGGCTTAAGGGCCATGAGCAGCCTTCTGTGGTGTACCAAGGTCTTCCTCTGCCATAGTCTGGAGAGCAGGAGAAGGAGCAGCATTTGGAGCCTGGTGAGCTACAGCCATCCAGGCAAGGCTTGGCTGAGATGAGCCAGCTCCATAGGGACATGCTTGAAGCTGACAGCAGAGCGATGCTGCAAGAGGCGGCTACAGTATGGGAGATCAGGCATTTCCCTCCCTCCTGTCAGGAGAAGACAGCCACCTGTGACTTGTGCTCCCTGCTCCCATCCCCCGGGTTCATTTTCCACACAGCAGCTATTGATAAGGCCCTGAAAGAGCAGGAAGTTTTCCCTGGCAGAGGCCGCTGGGCGGGCAGCGTGTGGTTGTACTGCTAATGAACCTAAGTGGAACACTGCGCTCAAAGGCACGAGCAAGTTCCCAAGCTTTGCCTGTAGCATCAGCAGCCTCCTGCTCCACTCAGCCCCACCACATCTCATGGTCAAAGGGACACCTTCACCAGCACCACCATTAGGTTGGTTTTATTCTAGGCAGAGAAGAGAAAGAGCTGCCAAAGAGGAGAGCAAGGGACGGGTTGATGTTCAACCAGAGCAGGGTTTAACGGCACAGGCTGTGCTGCATGCGATAGCAATGTGATGGTCATGGGGGAAATACCTGCCCAGTCTCTCTAGATGTTGATTCCTGTGACATGTCAGACCCTCCGCACTCTCACAGAGGGAACAGGAGCAGGAGAAAGAGTGGTTGGGCAGGGAGGAGGTTTTCTCCAAGGTTAGAGACAGGAATGTCTCTGGAGGCTGCAGGTAGGTTGCCAGCTCAGGGAGCTTCATGCTCCATTAGCCAAGCGTCTGCAACATCCATCCCAAAGTAGTTGCCCTGCCAATAGCTGCAGGGGAGATCTTGCATAGGCTGCCCAAACTCATTCTAAACCTCAAAGTACTTCAAATACAACCATCCCATGTTGTCCCTCCGAGAGTGACCTCCTGATGGACAAAAGTCCTTGTAAAAATGCCTTTGGAAGTTCACCAGGCTCTCTGTGTTTTCATTTCTTGGACAATGGTTAATGTTTGAAGCAGAAACCCAAGTAATTTTCCTCAGACTCCTGAATGGGAAAAATCTGGGCCTCAGCCAGGTTGGGAAAAACCAATAGGAACATGGAAAAAAAAGCTTTGAAAGAGGTGTCCAGCACTAAGAGGTGTTTGCCTGCTGTGGATGTCCTGGGAAACATCTGGGATAGGGTTTG